TATTAGTCTTGCAGACTGCAACAGGAGTATCTCGAAGACAAAGGCATATACTGTCCAGGGAGCTCTCCAAGAATGCCACTGTCACTTCCACTTTGGGATTTACCTTTGGTTAATTAAGATTAGATTTAGAGTTAGATTAACTTTTAGATTTAATTTTTACATTCAGATTGTCTCTGCAAATCAAAGGCAACTGAGTGACCCAAAGCAGCTAGTCCATTTACTCAGATCAGCCGTGGTTTGTCACTTCCCTTCTCAACATGCTGCACAAAGTTTAGAGCATAACCCAACAGATAGGTGTGCTCCCTTGTAGAAATTGGGAACACATGCTTAACACAAAGCCCCAAGGCAAGGGGAGAAAAATGCTTTCACTGGCCTTTTTATTATGAATTCTTAGTAGCCACAGGGGTTTGTCAAAAGGTAACAGGGAGAAGGTTGGAACGTACACTGGAGATATTAGCAGGACAGAAGCTATAAGAAAATAAAGAAACAGTGTGATATTTAAGATGTGATTTAAGGTGTAGTAAGCTTCCAACTGACCTCTTAAATTTTGTAGGCTAGGGCCGACATCGAGCAAAGAGCAGCCCGCAGTACTTTGCTATTAACTGCACTTTTGACTCCCCATCTCATCCTCCAGCATTTCCAACGCCCAGGATTCCCTCCCTCCTCTGCTACCACTGACAAGGAGCCCACTGAAGTGAGTGCCTACTGACAACGTCTGGAACAGCAAAGCCAACGCACTGAGGCCTCACCTGCTCTAATAAGGTGTCACAGACAGCTATGAAGTTGGTGGGCAAGTACAAGATCTCTCAAAAGACTTGGAGTTCACCTTATCGATACAAAACTCCCACAAATACTTACAGAGATACGGGAGCCAGCTCTCGCCCTTGCTACAGTCTCTTTTTCCTTCTCTGACACTCGCCTCTGTATTGCCTGGAAGTTATTTAAGGCCGTGGAGAAGTCGTTCATTAAACGTTCTTTCTGGAGCCTCTGTTGGCGCTAAAAATCAAAATAAAAACAAGTGTTCAGATACTCCCACTCATGGTAACGTAACTGCCGGACTCTCCAGAACGCCACCCTCACAACCACAGCGATGAACGCTGGCATGCAAGCGACCTTTTGGCGCCAGCACTCTGGGGCCCTGCAGAGAACAACAGCCCGCCGTGTTTCAATGCCTTACACCAAACGCTCTGTGCCTTGCCAATCGCCAAGCAGTTTGGTGCAGCGAGGTTCTCTGACTTCAGTCTAGTTGTCAGTCTGAAACAGAGGGGTCTTCTACAGCATTACTTTTGTTCACATCACATTCCAGTAATCTGCCACATTTAATTATGTACCTTTTGGATGCCTACAATGCCTTTCCCCTCCATTCCTCTACTTAGCCAGTCTGGTAGCACTTGACTTTCTCTTGTCCTGACAAGACAACCCCCTTAACTTCCTTACAAGTACAGGAAGCCCCACACTTCCAGAACTAATGACAACACCCATTACCCCAGTTTCATAAGCTGTCTCTCCCAGCCATGCCACACTAGAAGCCCGCTGTTATTTGATCACAGAATATCCTTGGTCCTGATAACAGTTTCAGTTTATCTTTTCTCCAAATATATCAGTTTAATACTCTTTTTCATCCTCATCTTGCAGTATCAACTTTTTTAGCCTACACAGACTGTTGCCTTCGAGTGTTGTAACATCCCAGTTACAGGAAACAAGAAGCTGTGAAAAACCTTGTCCCAAGGACACTCAATATTCTGGTCAGTTCTTACATTTTCCATTCGGGAGCTTCCCAACAGCTGCCTCCAACTGCAGGCCTTCCAGTACTGTAATCCTTCAACGAGTTCATATCAATTCACCAGCCATTTCAAGGAAATAAATGTTTTCAATTAATTTTTTCTATAATAAGCCACTACAGCAGCCTCATAATACACTGCAGCTTCCACCTGAGCCATCTGGAAGCAACAACCCTTCTGCCAGAGGAGATCCTCAGCTCCTGCAGACTCTGACTGGACTGCTCCGACAGGCTTCAAGCATCACGGCTGCACCCCACGAGATGCACACCACAGGAGTTGGTTCACCAGAGGGAGGTTAACCGAAAAATACTTGCCAAACACACGGGAAAATGTGGCCACGCTTACCATGGGCACATAAACCTTTAAACACAGGCTGAGACTGAGCCAACATCTGCTGACCCATGTCCCCAGGCCATCCCACCACAGCTTCACAGAAGCAGATGCATCAATGCTGTGGCAGTGATTTGAAGTAGAGCAAGAAAATGCCAACAGCAGAGGACTGTCCCTTCCCTTTCCCACAGGGAGGGGCAACTTGAAGGACTATGTGGCAAGAGATAAAGTCACAATCATTGCCTCGCTATACTTTGCTTTATTCGAGTATGAGCAAGGTGAGTCAGCTTTTTCCCCCGTGCTAATAAATCACATGCAAGGGAAAGCTTTCTGGCACGATCCCATTTCATACTGACATGCAGTTTGCTATGAGTTCTTATCCTAAAACACCGCCTTGCATCACCAGGCGCTTTGTGAACAAGATTATTTTTCAGAAATTTACTCGAGAAACAGAAGTGCATACTCAGCTCTCCCCAAACATCTAGGGCTTCTTATTCTCATGCAAGTAAGTTTTAGACTTACATTTTCCCCTTTCCCAGTGTCATACAAGTAGCCAGTTTAATGTTTTTCCCTATTTCAACAACATTCTTCATTGCAAAAGGCTATTGTCTCTTCAGCTGTGCCAATCCAAGCTTTGTGAGGTCGTGGTCTAAGCTAGTTCCATGAAATGAGTGATTTAAAACCACGCCCCGGCAAACCCTGCGCCTACCTGCTCAGATGCAGACAGAGGAAGCGGCAGAGACCCCAACTCCTTCAGGTATTCATTGGTCTCTTTGGCAAGGCAGTTGGCAGAATGCTGCAGCTGTTGTCTGAAACAGAAGTTCAGAAGCAGTTACACAGGCTTCCACCTAAAAAGCAGTCTCTGAGCATTTCAGCTTCTAAAATGATGACCAAGCAGGGGCTCTGAGATCACACAGCTTTATGGTGGGGCTTTTTTTCCACCCTAGTGGAACAGATGCACTTTTAGCTTTTACCATCAACTCAACTCTGGACTCGTTTTAAAAAGAGATTCAAAGCAGCTCTGTGCTCCCCACTAACTGGTATAATTCAGTAGTTTAAAAAGATATTTTTCTCCAATGGCATAGGAGAGAGAAATTCAAGAGAGAGACAACTTTATCAAGTGAACATAATCCCTCTTTTAGGGTGAATTCCTTGTGGTACCAATCGGTAACTAACCGTTCACCCAACAACCATCAACTCCATTGGTTAAATGTACATTTGACAAAAGAACAGAGACCCAGAGATATTAAATTCTTACATTTTTGTGAAAATTGATGGTCAGAGAAAGAACTGATCCAGCTTCTACTCTGGGAAATGCAAGGCTTTCCCTTGAACCTTTATGTTTTCCAACAGCACTGCAATTGAGAGCTATTGTTGCAAAGGGTCTAGTGCAGCAGCACCTTCCTTCGTACTGCAACACAGAAAGGTTAGCTACATCAAACCCAATGTAAAGGCATCAGCTTGTACATCAGAGATGCAGTTTATCAGAAGGAATGCTAGTGCTTCACAGAGAAGCAGAAGCAGAACTGCAAGTTCTATTTAGTATGCATCTGCACAAAAACTAACACTGTGAACCAGAAAGACACGAAATACCAAAACAAGAACCAAAATGTTTTTGGCATTCAGCGGACCCAAGATGCTGAAGTGGGAAGCACCTATTCAGCCAGCAGACGAACCAAAGCATTCAGGCTGCACTGCCGTACAAGCCGACCTGCAACACGTGCGGTTTTTGTTGCCTCTGTAGGGCAGCGGACACCCTGCGAGCGTAACCCCCCTCACCTCAAGGAGCAGGGCCATTTCTACAGTGACATTTGATGGAAAGACATTCGTGTGGTCACCAGGGATCAGCTCTTTCACCTACCAATCAAACACGGATCGAGTCAACTGCGCAGCTCAGGCACGCGGATTCCCTTCTCTCCCGACCGGGCTCTGATCTCCCCCCTCAAACGCAGGCTGTGTAACCATCACCGCACGTTATGAACTTACCCCCACAGCAGCTCTGATAAAAAAATGGGGCAGTTGCTTACTCAGAGACTGAAGGTACAGTCACAGGAAGAGATAAGGGGAGAATGAACTTTCAAGTTTTCTTTTACGACTCCAGAAGTTGTTCTTCTCATAACTTGCTATTTAGGCTTTACAAGCTCGTAAAAGGTGCAGAACACAGACTCCCTGTTCGGTCTCTCCAGGAAGCAGTTTGGACTATGCCTGCTTAAATGTCTCCTACATGGTCCCACCCTGGCACCTCTTCTGAAATGACATGTGGTGTTCTGGCTGCCACACAGGATTGCTAATCTTTCTAGTGCCTGAATCCATCGGTACAGCAAGCTACTTTTTCACCAGTTATGGGTCTTCCTTGCTGGTTTTCCTTACTGTTCTTATGTGAGGACCAAGTACCCAGTATGGTATTCATTTCTTCTAAACCACACGTGCAGCTACGATGGCTGGTCCTCAGAGTACAGCTGATGCGTGGCCGATGTGCCACTACCCTTTTTAGACAAACCACACCGTTTCTAACCATGCCTACCCAGCAGTTCCGGATGGCTTCTCCAGCGCCCTGCAGAAACACCTTAATTTGTCCAGCAAACTACCTAACACAGCTAGTCCTTTTGGTTTGTAGGGCTGTACGGAATTTATCTAATACAGTGTCTCCCCAAAGCAAGTAACCCCGTTCCGCTAGAATACAGCCAGAAATGAGAGAGAACCCGTACAAGTGTCAGCCCACTTAATACTTACAAGTTCTCCTGAAGCTTGCTGGAATCCTGCTTTGTTCCCAGCTGGCTCATCAAACTCTTTATCTGAGCAGCTGAAGATAAAGAGATCACAAGATGCGTTAGTAAGACAAGTTCCAGTGTATTTTATTCCCTCTTTAATGCGTTCTTCTAGCCTTCCCCAGAGGATTTCTCTCAATGTTTGACTTAACTCAAGCTGGTAAGACAACACTTAAATTCTTTGCTTTAAACGCAAAGTGTATTTTAAACATCCCCATTTAGACATGATCCAGCCCATCAGACTAACTTTCGGATGAGGAAGCGACAGTGAGGCACACATACCCTGAAGACAACAAGTCTGTTGAGCTAAAAGCTTGTACACTCCTTTTCCTCAACATTTTTAGATCAGCTAACATGGCTGGGTGTTCCTACCAGCCTTGCTATTTCTGTATTTTAGGCTACCACTGCTGCAGAACAATTTTACTACGCTGTGTGTACTTCTACATGTTCTAAAGTGACTTAAATTATTCATTTTTATTTTTTTTTAATCAGAGCACTAAAAAGAAAAAGCCAAGGGTTGCTGTCTGTTAAAAAAAAAAACAACAAACCACCACACATTTTGCTACTCAGGATAGCCCAAACCTTTCACGATGCTGGCACAAACAAGCTTTAAGAACAGCAGGCAGCAGTAGAGCACTTCACGGTCAGCTTGCATCAATTCGACATCGTGTTGTAGTGAGAAGGGCTATCCTAGCCCTCTGTCTGCCCTACCTCAGGTTTTCCTTGTGCAGGCACTAGGGACCGTGCAGCCACCCAGCGAGTCCCATCAGACTGTTAGCCTGGCTCAAACACAAGTACCATCTTCTCTCCCCGCTCCCTCTACCTCAGATTTTTTTTTTTCTCCACGGGCCAACAAGGTGATTCACTTCGTTCTGCAGCTGCACAACGTTTAGCATTGCTAAAGACGCCAGGCACACCACCTACGGTACAGTCTGGCTGGCTCAAACCCATCCCAAAACCCTATGCTGTCCATCAGGCATGGAGAGAGGCAAGACCAAGGCAGATCAACTGAGCACAGTTCTACAGGCAGCTGAAGGGAGTCGAACACCCCGCGAGTTTAACAAGAGCTGCTTCCCACCCAGTGACATCCTCCTGGTGCAATTCCAGCTTTCAGCCTGGAGCAACCCACTGCAGTTGGCTGAACGTGTTGTGGAAGAACCATCACATTCCCACAACGGCCACTCCTGTCGAAGTGATGTCCCAGGGCAGCTCAGCTTCCCGGCAATCCGGGAAGGAGCACGGCTGTTGCACCCAGCAGCTCTCTCCCCGAGCCCCCCGGACTGCCACAGCTCGTCCACGAGGAGCCACACGGCAGCAGTCACAGCCCCGGCGGAGCGCGGCTCCCCGCACGCCAGCCCGCACGCGCTTCATGGCTCCGGTGGCCCCTGGCGGCTCAGGGACGCCCCTCGCCGAGCCCAGGGACAGGCGGCACCCGGCCTGTGCTCCCTGTGGGGACACCAGGGACCTCACAAACGGCGTTTGTGCTATAAAGTCTCGATACTCCATGACACTTTTTTTCCCCTCCACTGGGGGAGATCCTCACAGGAGCCCCACTTCCACACCAGGCACTGGCCTGGGCCGGGCTCAGCCTATCTCAGCCCACAGCAACGCAAGGAAACGACAGCAAAGTGTCTGGGAGGCCAAAGGAAGGGGCTGGAGCTCTCCACATGTATTCTCTGGACAGGGGGCACACACACCAACACAGAGAGCGCCCTCAGTCAACAGCTTTCAGTCTCCAAACCCATTCAAGCCCAGGCTGTAAAGCCCTCCACATACCGACTACTTTACACTTAAGATGACTTAACGCACTTCAATCTCTGCTCTAGATGCTTAGGTAACATAACAGTCTTGCAAGCAACAGTTTTGCCAGCTCAGGTTAGTAGTTTTCTGTATATCTGGTGTGAAATTCTAACTCTACAAAGCTTCCCAAAAGCAGTGAATGACAGTCAGCTGTGTACCCTATGGGGAACAAAAGGAGAAATGAGGACAGGCCTAAGGCTTCCATCTCTCTTCTCCTCCTAGGCTTGAATGGAAAGCTTTCATAAAACGCATAATAAAGTTAACTACCATAAGGTTAAGTCAGATGTTCTGTGTGTGCCCCCCCCTTGATAAAAACTGCAAGGCTATTTATGTCATCTAAGATGGGCAGCGCACGGAGATGGGATGGCTGCTGGTCACGAGACAGTGGGAGCTTGTCCTATGGGAATGGGAAGCTGAACCACTTGGAAGGGGCGGCTCACAGAAGTCCCATGGAAGGAGGAGGCAAGGTGTTAAAAAGAAAAAAAAAAAAAAAGAAAAGGAAAACCCCCAGACAACCCGTGAGCTCAGAAGCAACTCAACTAGCAGCCACGCCTACACCAGGAGGAAATGAACATGGCTGAGCAAGAGCAAAGCAGCTTCAGCAATGCTGATAACTTCGTATAATCGACTTACTTAGAGAAGTCACCAGCTTTCAAGGGAACCAACATGTTCAACTGACCTTGCCCCTACAAAACTGCAGGGGCATTTGCACAATCAACGCCTTTTTGAGCAAAGGCAGCATCCTCAGGAAGGGGTTATACCAAAGACTCTTTTGGAAGTGACTCATGTAGCAAGCACTATTTGAGCGCTCAACACTAGGATTTCAATCAACCAGCTTACGACACCGATACACTTCTCTAACGACACTGTACAACCAAGAACCTGCACCACCACGGACCGAAGGGCAGAGCCCTGCCTGCACACTCCGGAGGAGCTGGGCCAGGTACCATCAGCCCTCAGACATCTCTGCAGCAGCGGCTTCCCCCC